TGGGTTTGCCCCGATTTGGGAAAAAAAGCGGCGTTCTGAGCACAAGCGGAAAAGTTATGGTGGACTTTCTTTTCGCCCGCGTGGGTTTAACCACTATATAGGGCGGGGAAAGGGGAGCTCTGGGACTGGACCGGTTATGAGGTGCGCGCGCGATCATTCTCAAGAAGCGCGTGCTTTCTTGACAAAGAGCACAACTCAATTGTTACGTCACTTCCAAAAAGTAAAGTCTTTTCGCTTACTAGCAAACTTGAGCGCATAAGACTTGCGATCAATAAAGAAGGCCTGATAAGAGTGAAGACAAGCAAAATGGATTCTACCACTGTAAAACACAAGCTGGAATCTGTGTGTCGTACGCCTGGTGAAAAAGAAAGCTCTATTGAAAGATTGCAACGACAGTTTTACGAACTCGAAAAACGAGTCGATATGTATTTTGATGACTTGGACAATGTTGAAGAAATGTGTGAACAAGCAAAGGCTGATATAGAATGGTTCAAGTTGAAAGCCAAAGCAGAAAAGGATATAGTAAGGAAAGATGCTGAAACACAAGCTAAGCTGTACTCAGCTGTAAAGGAGATGAATGAAAAGATTGAGAGATCTAAAGAGCAAGACAAGTACAAGACGCCGCATGCGCAGGAAGACAAAATACCTGATGCAGCACAAAACGCTTTAAAATACACCACAAGTGCTCGAGTTTGTCGCTATATCAAGATTGGTTGCGCCTTGGTGTTTGACAGTGTAGCAGCTTATGCGTTGTTTAAAATTACAAAACCATTCTTTTTCTGAATCAATATAATGAATACGTTTGAAGAAACTTTAACCATAACCAAGAGGACAATAATGAAATGACGATTCATGAGACAGGTTATGAACTGCGAACAGCTTAAATAATAATTATAAAGTCATTCAAATGCTGACTATCGTACTTATAAACTAAGTTAAAAAGAGATGTAGAATAATAAAGTGGTAATTTAACATGTTCAAGCGAGTTGCTGCAAAAATTATGTACAGCTACGGTTAGGTAGCTATGGTTCGGTAGGCTACATCTCCATGCACCTGTATGGATGCACGGATACTAGCCTTTGCGGTTACGTACCTAAGCTACTAGGTGACTCCAACGCTTTAAGACTATGGGGCCTCTCAGCTGAGCAGCTTGGCTATGTAGCTAAATGGCTACGACACTTTGGAACTGCGCATGTTCGATACTACGCGGCTAGCTGGCTCCCCTAATGCATTTTACATTTTGATAACTCACCACATGATTTCTAAAACTTTTGAGCCTGAACAAGCGACTTGTTCAGCAACAGTAGAATGTTTTCGCTGTCTTTTAAACTCAGTGAATTGAATACAGAGTTCATTTTCTCCTCAGCCTTAGAGTAAATTGATTTAAAATCTGTTTTTTCACGTGCGCGTCTTGCCAGCTCGCGCCGTTCGTCACTTGTCCTCTTGGAGCTTCTTGGCTTCGCCACTTGCGCGAGTGACCCAAAGCGACTCTTGCTTCCAGGCTAAAAGTTATCCTCCAAAATGAAACAAAGGGCGAAACTTTATGTTCAGTACAATTGTACCTTTTCATATTTATCGATTTGGTAAGAACGGAAGTTAAGCACGGGAGAACATACAACTCATGATAGCAAGCGCGGGAAAACGGTCTGACCTCAAGCCAGTCCTCAATGCAAGCGCGGGAAAAATGCAACCGCGCGAAGGGCGCGTAAAAGAAGAAACCCGCATCCAGCACGAGAAAATGGGTTTATAGTTGAATTTTGTTTTAGAGTTATCTAGGACTGTATCAACATTAAGAATTGTTGCCTTGATTTGTTAGGTTACGTTTCACCTGTTTTGAGAGCGAACTACTGAGCAGATATGAAGGATTATGACGGATAATGCTCTTTGTCCTATAGATGCTTCCTGTAAAGCCTTGATTCACATATTACAGCGAGTTAAACAAGCGAAGGCCGCCTTGTGGTCACGTAGATAGGCGCGCTTTTCTACTCCTAAACATTCCAGTATTTGAGTCAACCTTTTGCACTGGTGAGGGTGATTAACCAAAAAATTCTAGACCTTTTTCGTTCATTGATTTGCATTAAGATTTCCTCTTTGAAAGGAACCTGAGCTACCTAAAATGTTGATTCTGTTACCTTTTCTGGAGGGAGAATGAAAGAAGCGGAAGGGAGTTTGAAAAGTTTTTAACAGGCAAGTCTATCAACTTGGAAGTCATATCCGGTCAAAATCCGTCTCCACATTAACGTCCCTTCATTTGCGTAAAGTTTCAATAATTTGTTTACCTTTTTTTCATTTTCCTTAATTATGACTCCAGCTGGTTATGATATAATATGACGGCAACTTCCCGTTCGTTTTGTTGGTTGTTAGAATATAGTTTCCTATATTATGTTACTGACGAAAATTTCCATGTTCCACTATTCCATATTCCTTTAATTTGTTTTGCATAATCGGCTAAATTGTCAAAAAGACGGAAAGAGTCTGAGTTCTTCTTAACTGATGATTATACGTCAAACAGCCAGTTGTTTTTAATTCTCAGATGAATATGAAACAATTTCAGCCTGGCGGGCTTTGTGTAGGATCATTAAAATACGTTTAATTGTCGGGGACGGTGGAGTCAATATTGATTGTAAAAATGCTTTATTGGCATATCTATTACCTGCTCTTAAGCAGAGATAGATATCATTTTGGCTTTCGATTTAGCTGTGTTTCAAAGGCAATTGCAAGAACCGAGACCACAGTTTTCAGTTTCTGTTGAGACTTTTGCCAATAACCCTGGGAGTTAATTCGACTCCAAAAGCCGTTGGTATTTTTGTTGTTATCCTCATCGGGCCCCGTAGGACACCTAAGGCCACAAAATCTTTTGATATTCGTTGTCTAATAAGTCGATAATTTGAAGATATGAATGATGGTCTTAGTTTTCTAGCTAATATAAAGAGCGGGTTTAATTTGTTTTCCTTGATTGCCTGAAAATGAATTGGCAATCCATGGCACCATGAGTCTGGAGTTCCAATCGTGTTTTTGATGACACGGTGGACATTAGTCTTATTGATTTTCAAAGGACCCTTTGTGTTGAATAAAGGGAAGTTTTAATTTGGAAAGGCAATTGATTGCCAGGTGAAATATGCTTTTTATCGGACAAACGCCTTGTCAGTAAGCCCATTTAAGGTGGCTTACTACAGTTTTGATGGATTATAACAGCCCAACTTCTAACTCTTTTGAAAAATGTTCCAAGATGTTTTTCCTTTCTCTGTTTACTGTTTTCTTAAGTCTTCTACCATTCTATATGAAACTTGAACAATTAAACGTCTACAATCGGCCAAAATGAACGACCGAGTAGCTAAGGAGAGACTGGGCACTAGCAGGTTAAATCACGGTTTTCTAAAAATCTACCCATATGACCCCGCCTCAAAATTTCAGGGAGAAGCAACTGGCTCTGATTTAACATTCATGCATCTGTCCGACAGATTTTTCGCAAACTAAGAAAATGTGAAATCAATAATAGCTCAAAATTGGTTTTACAGATTTTTTTAAAATTTTGGCTTTAAACGTGATTCGTCCCTACAAATAACTGTGAAAATTTCAGCATGGGCTGTACGGTAAGTTTTCGAGCAATCCTCGATCAAAGACTGGCTTTGAGACGCCATGTATCGCGTGCAAGAAAGCAAGAGTAAATTAGAGCTCTTTTACCGGTTGTTTATCGAGCTTTTTTTGTCATATTTTTGGACCCTAGGCTTTAACACATGTTTGAACTGAGTTTGAAACTATTGCTGCGTATACCGAAGCGATTTAACGCCTTAATTTCAAGCGCTGAAGTGGTTTTCGTTTTTTCTTAGGGTTACTTGTGTCATAGGGGACTTAAGATTTGAGTACGAGAGCGAGATTGACTACGAAATTGACATTTCAATTCACGTTTGCAGGTCTCCACATTATCACATCACATACCCATCTCATCCCATGAGCTATCCTCTCTGCCTAAAACCAGCATGAAGAATTAGGGCTCTGGAAACGTCATTGGTTTGAACAACGAAAATCGTACTCGTATTCAATCTCGTACTCGTTGTCCAATCTAAAGCCCCCTATTAATATTCTTGCACGCGCGATTAATACTGAGGTCTGGCTGGCAATCATAACGCGCGCTACTGAGTCTCCGAAAAACTGTAATAAGCCACCTTAATTTGTCCCCATCCTTAACAAAATGACCCATTTCTAATTATTCTTCAGGCCAAATTACTAGGTTTTACATCATCTGTTCCGCGCCGATATGTCGTTCCCCTCCACGAAAGGGCACAATAATTGATAAATAAATTATAGAACAAACAAACGAGAGAACAACGACTTTTTTCTGATCTCTTTGAATATATGTAATATACCGATTCTAATACACAAAATGAAAAGATATATAATACAAGCCAAAGGAGAACACATCGGCCTTCCTTTCTGAGTTAGCTTCAGTTATACAACATAGCATTCTGTGATCAGCTAAAAACGATTGTAAAGAACGTTCTCCAAGTTTAAGATTGACAAAATTACTGTTTATCTGTGCCCTTATTGGGCGGAGCTATCAAATGCGGGATTAACGTGTATAATACTTGTTCTAAACGAGAATTGAGTTACCTCTTGACCCACGCTAGCAGAAGTGTTCAGCTCCGGCCTAAAGAGAAGGATATACATTTTGGGCAAAAATACGCAACAAAGGAAGCCATAAGCACTCAACAGTGACGTCACACAGTCGACGACAGTGACGTACCATCCATGCGTCGAAAACTCTATCGGATAATAAGCTAGTATTGAAAATAACAATATGTACAAAGAGAATGCTATTCGCTTGGCCTCACTAAAGTTTTCTGGGATGTTCCTAACCTTGAAGGAACAAAAAGCGGAAAGTAACATTTGAACGAAAATGAAAGTAGTCGTAAGCATAAAGAGGGTTTTACCAGATGACAAGTTATATGCCTTGCATTCAATAAAAGTAGATTGTTCTGGATATATGTGTTGGGTAATGACCGGTGGATCAAGAAGAAACCATGGTAGTAAAATAAATAGCAGCAAAATGTGCAGAGTTATTACTATCACCGCTTGCATTCGATTGGTAAGAGAACTGATCGCAAAACCGAGCACTTCGGTCGTGACGGCTGGAACTTTGAAGGCAAAAGAAATGCCCAAGACTTTTACCAACACGATAGAAAGACAAAGGTTGTAAGTTAGGAAGCGCCATGGATAAATGATCTTACAAATTGTGCTTGTAGGTTCAAAGAGATTAACCAACGCTATGGATAACAATGAGATAATGACTGCTAGGAGAGCGAGGCTAAGTTCCCTGTTGCATGCCTTGACAATGGGAGTGTTCCAAAATTTGCAAAACACAGCGAATGAAAAGAGCGCAACGATGATTCCCACAACGCTAAATGCGAGAATCGAAATTCCTCCTGCACTGGAGTAACTTAAATTGGCTAAAGGCAAATCAACACACGCTGTTTTCGCCTCATTGGAACGTTTTTCTCTGGGACACTCAACACAGCTTTCAGCTCCTGGAATCGTGTTGACCGTACCGCGGGGACAGGGAAAACACCTCCAACAACAGGGCGAGGTGGTAGATTTTCTTGTTCCCGCTGAGCACTGCTCAGAGCATTCAGATTTTGGAGGCCGTCCGTTTTGATTATTCCAAATAATTTTTTCGTGTAAGTGTAACCCGTCTCTAGAATCCCATTTTCCAACAATAACTTGGTTTAATCGCTTGGCTTCAGCTTCTTGCACTTGTTGGAAATTGACAATGTCGTACACCGCAGATCTCCTATCGCCAAATCCATCGAAATTTATTTCTCCTGTCAGTCCAACAAAGTTAACTTTGGAAAGAAGCGCTTTCATATTGTCGACATTGACATCGGCAAGTTTTTTCCGGCTATTGATATTCTGTATTAACATACTGAGAGCCTGTCCTACGGAATACACAGCGTCCATAATGTATGGAATATAGGAGCTGTACATGTCATCAACAACTTCCTGAAGACATAATTTGTCTTGGTCTTTGTTATTTTGAGCCTCGCAGTCCTTTTTCAGCGCCAATACCTGGCTCCACAATCCCGGAAAGTTCGGCTCATTCGCTTCATTTGCAAGTAAAGTTTTCAGATGTTGCAGGAATCCACCGTCGTCGAAATTGTGAGGTTGGAATGCTATGGACCCGTGAAGAGGAGAAAGACCCGAGTGCGGAAAGTAGTTCTCATTTGATGAGAAAGTTACTTCGCTAAGAATCCAAACTCTTCCAGAGAGGTTTTGTCTGTTAACTTCCCGAAAGAACATTCTTTGAACGGCCCCGTAAGTCCACAACACGACCACTTTGATATTTTCACGCCACCTTAGCTTTGTAACGACGCCATTAATACGCGAAAAATCACTGGTTATGAGTTCTGTCATGGCGATACAGAAGGAGTTATTTCGTCTCCCGGCCTCTTCGACTAGGCCCCACACGCCACTTCGCCCATAGGAATCGTAGATGCCAACAGCGGCTACATAGCTCCAATTGAAGTGCTCTATGATGTCGGCCATGGCTTTTACTCGAAAGGTATCGGATGGCACTGTTCGATAGAAATTGTTCAGATTCGAACTCAGCTCCGGGCTCGTTGTTGAACCACTAATGCCTGAGACATTGAAAATTTCGAGAAATCCACCGATGGCAAGGGCGGTGGAAGATTCTTCCGGTCCTATTAGCCCCACGATCGAGTTATTTCCCATTTTTGCTTTCGCAGTGTTCCTGCAGCACCTTTCCTTTACCAGGTCGTAAGTCAGGTGTGTGGCCTCTGTAGCACTTTCGCAGTAAGCTCTTATATCGTAACCAAGAGTTACATTCTCAAGTATGCTTGAATTGCTGTTAAGCTTTTGAATGGCGAAAATCATGGACAATGCGCGACCCAGTCCCTTCGTGTTGAGGTCACCGCACGGGCCGTGTCCTGTTGTTGCCAGGAAATTAACGGGGAAAAGTCCGCCCACAATGAAATCGCCTTCCTTGTTCGAAGCTTGTACAACAGTCGTCAGCCATAAGCAAAAAATTAGATAGCAAGGTGAATTCTTGGTAGGAATCATCTTCAGAATCTTCTCCGGCGTTGTTTTGACCTGCTAAGCGGACTGTAGACTTAAGGCGAAGGCAGGAGCGAAGGATAACTCCGTTTGACGTTTAACTCCGTGACTCTACTCCAGTGGAGGAAGAAGACCTAGTAACAACGAGAAAGCACTTTCAATTCGTGTTGGTTTGAATAAAATATCGTTCCTTATCTTTTAGTGGTTTTGAATAAAAAAAGCAGCTGTTTTACTTAAAACTGTCTGTTCTAGCTTTTAGAGATATCAGTTACCTAGACTCTATGTCCTTGACTAGTTAGATTAATTTACCTTTCCGTGACAGCACTGTTCTAGTGATTATTCCGTTGAGTTCTTACTACAAGTGAACAGCTGAGGGCAATCGCA